TTTTGTGACTCGCATGTTTTGTACTTGACCTGTAAGTCAGAAAAGTATGTTATCGCAAGCACGCAATACAGAATGGAAGGAATACTATAAAAAGGAAACTCACGCTCTGAAACTCATTCTATCTTGAGGAGTAATAGAATTTTTTTGTTCTTTGATAGTTATATATACTTTTGGAAAGCAAAAGCTGCAGTCGATATTTCAGCTCTTTTGACATGCGTAAATGACACCCTGAGAAAAGTAATTCTACTAGTGGATAGCACTTGAAATTCTCTATCAAACTGTTCATTTTGATTGTATCTTGTTTGTATCTCCTGAAAACTTAATCAAATGGAATGAAGGCACTCTCATGGTGAGATGCTCGAGCGGTCGATCTTCTCACTGTCTTTCCAATTAGTATTTGGGATGGATCATGGCTTGGGGTAATCACCTTTTAAAAAAGTAAGTCGATTTTCTATCGTTGTAGGTTCTTGTACTAGACTTTATACATTTGATAAGGTTCGTGTTTGAGTCCAAGTCGCATCTTCGAGATATCAGCCTATCAAAGTTTCGTTTCTATGGTGACTCAATCCACCATGCAATGCACTAGCAAATTACGTATTGTAGTTCTATTGTAAAAACTAATTCCTATAGGAGTGATAATTTGAGGGAAAAGAGTCAGAAAAGGACGAAAAAAGAGCGATCTCCATACTTGTCGATCGAAGCCATGTTCATTTTCTTGCACTTATATTCAGAAGAAAAAGGCAATACTATAAGAAAATACTTCAGATTGAAGAGAATTTTCAGCACTATCAGAATATCTACTTACTTTTTAAAACATTATTACCCAAGCGATGATCCATCCAGAGTACTAATTGAAAAGACAGAGAGAAAATCGACCTGTTGAGAATCTGACTTTGAAGTGCCTTCATTCCACTTGATTAATTTTTCAGGAGATACAAGCAAGATACAATCAAAATACACAGTTTGATAGAGAATTCCAAATGCTATCGACTGACAGAATTGCTTTTTTCAAGATGTTCTCTGAGCATGTCAAGAGAGCTGAAATATCGACTGCAGCTTTTGCTTTTTAAAGGTATATACATACATTGATAGGGTGAATATTTTTATTATTCCAATAAAGGCCATTCCGCGACGCAATCTTGAGTATATTGAAATATAAAGGAGTTGTAGAGCTTTATAAGATGTTTCAGATTATTTTCACATGGCAGATCGATTACAAATCATTAAATTAAAAATTACGGTAGTAGTCACCTCGTTACTGTGCGTTTATGTAGGACTATTGACAATAGAATGACACTGATTATATTGTCTTCAAAATACTTTTCATTGAAAATTTTTCCAAGAAATCGTGAGTAGCAGATATGTTATGTAAGTTGAAATTTTAATCTCAGTTAAATAAAGCACTTATAATCACTTACAGACATTTTCTATTTGACAAATACATTTATTTGTCATGACTTCAAATGCTTTGAATATTTGCACACCATCGTAGCGATATAATAGAAATGAATTGAAACTCGTTGATTTACGCATTAATTAAAATGTGTGAATACATTTTTTTCTCAAACTTTCATTCTTCTAATTTTGACACATCATCCGTTAATAAATGTGTGTGCTATGCATATGTTATTGTTAAAACGACAATCATATACTGATCATTTTTTTTCAACGATGACTTAGTGATGCTTTTTTTCTATCTGAACTCTTCTTTTCTTTGTTTCTGAATTGAAAACAACAAAAGTGGACTAATATTTTTAGTTTTCCTAATACTATTTACCTACAAAGATTTTTTGGTATATATTTATTAACCGGACTAGAATACAGAAGAATAAAATTCTGATCGCATTTCTATAATTAAAAGGAATGCACAACAGTTTCCTTCATAACCTTTCATATGATTAACGCAATTGAAAAAATGCTACGGTTAGGCTATCTTAGTTTGTTTGCAGTCACTATTTCTCTTAGAAGAATAGATCCTCTGTTACAGAATAAATTCTCTTCTCCCTATTCCTATTGTCGTCCTTTCCAATGTTTCACTTCCGCACACTCTTTGACCATTTCACATTTTCTAAAATGGGAAGGAAAAATTTATATTATCGACTTCAGATATTAAATAGTATAGAAATGCTATATTTTCGTTGACGATCGATAATGATAAAAATGATTTTATTTTTCGATGAGATTATATACACAGAATAGTCTGACGTAGAAAAACTGCGAAACATTTAGATCAGATGGCGATTAATAATACTTTTTCCGTGCAATGATCAATTGTTTCTTTAGACACCCTAAGATACATTCTATTCAAAATATGATTACTTTATTTTGAGAACTCTTTTATATACCCTTGTCAATCATTTATTAGTTACTAGTCAATTTACCATGTCTAGTGGAAACACAACACTCAGCTATACTCCAGGAGGTGCTGATGATCCGGCAAATCCATTCCGTTATATGCCTTCAATGGCTGCCGCTATCGCGCCTCTAGTTTTCTTCATACTATTATTCTTCATTCTCACGATTTGGGCGATCTGGAAACGAAGTTGGTACATGATTACACTCTTAATTGGATGCATTATGGAAATCATTGGCTATGGAACTCGCATTCCATTAGCCTCAAATCCGATCGGACAAATTTCATTATATGCATGTATGCATGGTTGCCTCATCCTCGCGCCTGTTTTTAAAGCTGCGCTCGAGTATGTGTTGATTGGTCGGTTAATGCATGCTGTGGGTGATCATTACTCATTGATCAAACCGAAACTGGTTTCCTGGATCTTTATCATTCGTGACAGTATCTCCATGTTAATTCAATCAGCTGGCGCAGGAGTGCTCACCTCAGCTGGAGCGAATTTGGAAAACGTAAAAACTGGACAGAATGTTCTCCTAGCTGGTCTTGCAGTCAACCTCGCCTCATTTGCTATATTTTGTCTACAACTTCTATTTTGAGTATCGTACAAGAAAATTACCTCCCACTTTTCCAATCGGTAGTGTCTATCAGAAACGTTGGCGGCTATTCCTATACGTAATCTATTCGAGCAGCTTCCTCGTGTTGGTTCGCTATCGTGTAATTAAATTTGCTCAAGGCTTCACTGGCTATTTAGCAGTACATGAAGTCTATTTTTATGTCTTCGACACTATACCGATTTTCTTGTCCGGTGCAGTCTACGCTATTTTCTTCCCTAGTAATGGTTATTTGCCGCGGAATTCAAATGACACTTTTGCTACTATGGAAAACAATGAACAGAATCTAAGAAAAACGAATAATAACAATAACAACGTCACCGTTTCTTCAAAGGATCTCGTTCTTGATGAAATCTCCTAAACTGTCGATATGTCATTATAATGACTATTATCATCTATGTACAATGCTGTTTTATTGTCTCTTCATGTATCTTTTGTCTTTGTTCTCGTCAATAAAAATAAAACAAGATTCAAACGTTCACATTGTAGACTATGTTATCTTCTGACAGGAATATATATGGGGGAATTGAGCCCGTATTGTACCGTTTGACGAAGAAAATCGAAAAAAATAAAAGCGAATTTCAAGAACGTTTGAGTCGGGCATTCGATAGAGCTGCATTTGTTGTACATAAATCCAGTATTTTTCCAACTGTCAAGTTTTTTCTTTAAGAAAAACGAGCTTCCGAAGTATATGAATGATACGAGATTTCTTGACAAAAATAAAATTTCTAAATGGATGTATTTTTATATTCTTATCGTATATCAATTGAATCATTTTGAAAAGGAGAATCCGACAGGTGTGGCTGTGGGTGTGGGTGTGAGGGTTAGTGTGCGTGTGTGGGTGTAGGTGGGGACGAAGAGCAGACTAACATTCACATCCACAACCATACTCACCCAAAGTCACACCCCACCGACATCCACACCTACTCAGACCCACACCCACACTCACACCCAAAAATATCTAATAATAAATGTAGATGTAATTTATTTCTTCTAGATGAAACGAACCTCATAAACTAACCTACACAATAAAATTTGACACGAAAATAATCCTCAACAATGAACGACTAACATTTCTCAATGGCCTACCAGGATGGACAAGGCCTTCCAGAATACATGCTCAAACACGAAACGCGTCGTATGATGCTTTGAATTATTCTTATTTTAACACACCCTTTATTTAAGAATAACTATGTCTTATATATAATATAGAATTATATTTGTTTCATAAACCTTTGATTTTTACTTGTTGTTAGTCTTTCATTGACTTCCATGCAGTAATACTTCAATATATAGGTTTTGAAATTTATCTTCTCAATTATCTCTATGTGGTTCTAATTCCGAACATACCTGATGATGATTGGGATAAGCTCCAGTCGAAACGCGTCGTATGATGCTTGGAATTATTCTTATTTTAACACACCCACACCCACACCCTCACCCCATACCCGACTAACACAACAACAGCAAGGACACAATCTACACTGCAATCTCTTAAAAAAATACCATTCGGACCATTCTCGAAGATATTTTTCAGGTATGTTGATACTTTAGTCAGCAGTGTGTCTGAGCATATACGCATGAATAAATACATCGCTATATATTGTTAGTAGTGAAGATTTATAAGATTTTCAACCTGATAAAAAAAAACTTATGAGAATAGACTTTCAGAAAAAAATTGATACTATGAATATTAAAGCTATCAATCGACGATAATATTCATTCTACGTCTAACGACCATTCCTGCTTGCGAATGTGGACATTTTTTCTGGTTTCTTTTATTATATTATTTGTTGTTGATTTTTTTTCTAAATTTTTATGAAAAAGACATATTTCATTAATGATGACTCTAACCTTCTCTACAATAATATTTTCTTTTTGCTTGTAAGAGATTTACTACTCTCGAAAATCTTTCATACTGAAACAAACAAAATGACCTCATCTACCATATTAAATTTAAAAACTCCAAGTCAAGATGCTCAAGGGTGTTGGTATGAAACACTTTCACCAACACAAGTGTTGACTGGTCAACAGCAACAACAGCAACCAGTAAAACCACAGAACGATGAACAGATGAAACAGAAGAAAAAGTGTCGTGGTAACAGAAAAGCACAACGTCTACGTCGAAGACTTCGTCAACAACGTTTAGATCCAGATACAATTACTGAATTAGTTAATCAAAAAATAAATCTTCAACGACGACAACAACATGATGAAGCAATACAATATAATCGAGTAATGTGTATTTTTCTTATGAAATATACTATATTAATATTTATATATTCATCTAGATTCCTCAATCGGCACAACATAAAAATAATTATCAGGATACTGTAGTAAAAAAAGCAGTAAAACGTAAAAGAAATGATACGCCAACAAAAACATCATCGGCTACAATTGATAAATCTTTAAGTCAATTATCTATTTCTCAACCATCATCAACAAACAAAAGATGGCAAATAATAAAATTGAACAAGTAACTACAAATAGTACATCAGAAACGCAACGTTCAAAATCTAAAAAACAAATTAATGATAATAAAGACTATTCTTATATACCTAATTATTCAAAAGTGTCAAATCGTATATTTAAAAAAATGTTAATTAGTTCATTAGAAGGTGCTAAGGAAATTGTTAAAAGATTAAATTCAAAAGATAAAATTAATTATATTCGTCAATATGCTTATTTAATACATCGTCTATTCTATGTACAATTACAAGAAAGTCAATGAAAATATTATTATGATATTGATATGCAAGAAAATATTTGATCAGGACGTGTATAAAAATATGGGCTGCTATGAATAGTTTGAATTATACTTATGGTCGATCAAAAACATTAATTGTACAACGTCTACAAACTATTCAACGACAACTTCAACAAGCATCACAAGCATTACAAGATTTCGGTAAACAGTCATTCACTCAATGTCTATCTGAAATGAATCCTCCATTAGATTTTACAACATTATCAGCAATGGTTACAGCTGTTGTACGTAAAGGTCAACATAAATTAAAACAACAATTTGAATATAACAAAAAAATGTTAAAATTAGACTCAACAGATCACCTTTTTGTAAAAAATGTTTACGATTTTAAACCAAATAAACAACAAATTCGTTCAATCCGTAATATATGGAAAGCCATTCAAAATAAAAAACAAATGGAAGAACAAATTGAAATATTAAAACATCGTATCCATTCGAATTGTTTACCACCAGCATTGAATCTTCTCGATTATTCACTTGATAGAATTGAGAAAATGCTTAGCGGATCAAAACAATCTTCTAGTAATGATAATGATAACAAGCAACAAATAATATTAGCTGCTCGTCGTTTAAAAAAAATTGGTCGTTTTAAATATGATATGCTTGAATTAAGTATAGCAGCTGGCGAAGAAAAAGTACGATGTTGGCATAAAATGGCTAAAAAGGGAAAAAAAGAAATTAAAAACTATTACCAATAAATTAAAGAAAAATAATTCTGATTCAGATATATTTAAACAGTTAATGGCAGCTATTGAAGCATGTGAAAAACATATGACCGAACGTACTGATTATATTACACAACAAAAATTAAAGTTTTTTTTCGACGAAGCTCCGGCGTTACAAGACAATTTAATGAATCAAGATGGCGTCAGAGCAAATCAAAATTAAGTATTCGAAATCATACAAATATGTTTCTCTCTGTACATTTTGTTAATACTATTATACCATTATCCAATGAACAATTACTTATTATTAATAAAGGTTTAAAATTTATTTCACCCTGCCAAAGTCGTTTCTTTTATCGTCAACCTATGGAATAAATTATTGAACAAGAGTACAACCGGCTCTATGCTGAAAATTGTAAAAGTCTTACTAATTATACGTTTTTAACAAATGATACACGTGCAACTGAATTTTTTTCTGAAGTTAAACATTTACTTGAACAACTATATACCAAACCATTACCTAAAAAACTCGAAGGAAATGCTCGATACATTTATAAAATGATCAAATCAATGCGACGAAAATTACGCAAAGCAAATATTGCTATTGGAAAAACTGATAAGAGTAAATTATTTTTCTTTATCGATTGACAAGAATATGAAGAAAAAATTACAAATTATATGAATAAAACCAATGCTTATCAAGAAATCACGAGTGGTATTTGCCCATTAGCCGATCATTTACATTTAGTAATATTATTACTTGATCATTTACTCGAACGGAATGAAATTACCAATGAATAGTATAAACAAATGTATCCTAATTTAAAAACATTAGAATTAGCTCATATTTATTTCAATCTTAAAGTTCATAAGGTAAAATAATTACTTTTCATAGATAATTTCTTAAGCATTTCCTTTTCTAGCCTGAAATACAAGTTCGACCTATTGTTGCTTCAATCAATGCACCAGCAAGACAAATATCAAGTTTTTTAGATCAACTGCTCACTCCAATTTATAATTATGTGACAAAAGATATAACATTTATTAATAGCATCGATTTGATTCGAAAATTAAAAGACTATACAGAAAAAGGTTATCTCACTTCAACAACATAATTTGTTACATTTGACGTGGCCGATTTATATACAATAATACCACGAGATGGTGATATTGCTGCTTTAAGACGGTTCTGTCAAAAATATTCTGTCAATGGCAAAATTGGAAACCTCAAAATAGATACTATCATTAAATTAGCCTCTGTTGTTTTATATACGAATACATTTGCTTACAAAAATAAATATTATCGACAAATTAAAGGCGGTGCTATGAGTTCACCATTTACTATGGTTCTCGCCAATACATATATATTAGAATGGGAACAAAAATTAATTCAACATCAAAATAGACATCATGAAATTTATGGCCGGTAAGTTTCAAATTATTATTTCTATATTCTTTTATATTGATGCTTTATTAATATTTTGTAGATATATTGATGATGTATCTATGACTACGAATTTAATAAAAGAAGAAATTTTACAATAACTTAATGAAACAATGAAAACAGATCCAAACATTAAAATTACTATTACAATAAATCAAGCATTAGAATATCTTGATGCTAGCATTGAAAATAATAATGGACAACTAAAAACCACTATTTATCATAAATCAGCTTGGGAACCTCATATTCTACCTTATGAATCTGATCATCCACGACATATTCATGCCAATATAATTTATACAATGTTAGTTCGAGCAGCATATCTTTGTTCAACTGTAGAAGATTTGGATATGGAACAATTAAGTGCAGAAATGATATTATTAGTTAGTGGTTATCCACCAAAATTTATACAAAAACACATGAAAAATTTCTTTATTCAACATGATGCGATGAATGTGTGGACTGAACTCGATGGTGAAACATATGAACAGCTGCATAGTACATTACTTTACAAACCAACACGAAGAGAAAATAAATCCAAAGTCCAAACAAATGGACACTTAATTCAAAACAGAAGAAATTATAAACATAAAGATCAAATTTATCTTCATTACACATTCGAAAATGGACCATTATTAAGTTTCAAAAAAGAATATCGTCGAATATGGGAGAAATTCTATGTTTATCCAAGCTTACGCTTCAAAAATACACGACTTATTCTTGGTACAATATTAAATCGTACATTACAAAGTCTTTTGATTCACAAAAAGCCTAAAAGAGATATGTTGACCAGAATGCAACCCATTACAGAAGCAGCTCAAACAACAATACAGGAACGATTCAATCAATGAAAACAATATTACTTCTAACAATCGAAAAAAGTCAAGAGCATTTTTTTCCTCTTTTCTCTTTTTGTTGTCTATCTATGATATTTGTTAACTATCATTAGATCTTGTTAATCGTTGAACATTGTTACTTTCATGTTTATTTTTCTGTTAACTATGCGGTAGATTTCATATACTGTAGTTTATTCCTTTTTTCATTATTCAAACTATGATATTTGATTATTAAGCATATGAATTCGTATCTTCTTGTTTGATTATTCCTTTTGAAAAAATTTTCACATTGAAGCTAGACGAATTTCACTGCATTATATATTCTAGATATATACTAATCAACACAACTTTTACCAAAAATAACTTCAAAACGCAACACAACTAACTCAATGATCCCTATAAGTGTTCCTAGTTACAATAAAACCCAACGCATACAAATGCAAAAACTCATTCCTTTTTTTTACTTCAGAATTACTACCAACCACAATCAACCACACTCAAGTCGACGAACGGCAATCATAAGTAGCTGACCACAACCATACACATGATGCTAATATTGATCCAATCTACACTGGTCCAACCTTAATAAAAGAACAACCATCAAAACATATGAATGCAACAAACTACACGGCAACTAGACAACCCAATTTATCCTCAAAAGAAACTTCGCACAAAAGTATACTATGTGTATTACTTGTTTCTGCAGTTTTCTCATAAAACTTTCATCAATAATATTACATAGTAGTACATTTATATAATACACTTACACATAATTGATAGCTACAATCTTAGCACGTATCGGAACATGTGTCTTACTAGCTATACATAGATTTTCCTTATTAAATCATTCATTCATTCACACCCATATATTGAAGAATCTCTTCAAAAAGATTTTAGGAAGTTGTCCTTTTGAAAACTTTTTAATAATAATTTAATTGAATTATGATTAACTTGGCAGCTTTCCTTATAAAACTTTTGACTATAGTAATTCATAGTAGAAGTACTTTATTTACCATCTTCAATCATTTGCATTATATAAGTAATTGATAAGTTCAATTTTAGCAGTTCTCGAAGCACGTCTTTTAATAGCTATTCATTGATTTTAATTATTAAATCATTCATTCATTCACATCCACACCCAAAACTATTTATGTTCCAAACACAATTCGATGAGCTCTACCCAGTGATATAATTGTATTCTCTATTACACAAACTATATGGTCAAAAACTCCGAAATATCGATATTTTCCGATAAAATCCACGGAACTACTTTACTAAATCCTACCCCGATTAGCCTACGAACCAGTTCTAAGACTCTTATTGTTATTCCCATTACAACTCCATAATCTCTATCGAATGATATAATTCAATTTTCCACAAGTCAAACTATGTGATCTAAAACTCAAAAATAACAACTTTTGCGTAAAGGATGCACGGAACCAGCTTAGTAAATCCTGCCTCAATTCTCATACGAACCTGTTAGAAAGCTTTTATTCCTGTTCCAAGTACAACTCAATGAGCTCTATCTGATGGTATAATTGGATTTCCCATAACGCAAAATATGTGATCCAAAAGTTCAAAATACCAATTTTTTCCCACAGGATACCCGGACGTGCATTAGTAAATCTTAACCCACTTTGCCTTGGAAGATGTTCTAAGACTCGTATTCTTCTTCCAAGTCCAACTTGATGAGCTCAATCGGATAGTATAATTGGATTCTCTATGGCTGAAACTATATGGCCAAAAAGCCCAAAATACTTATTTTTTCGTACAGGATCCACGGATCCACTTTAGTAAATCCGGTCCCAATTCCTCTAGGAGGCATTGTACCTAAGCCACGGCCAACGTGGCGCAATCGATGTCACTGATTTGGCTGATATTTTTCCAGTAGGTAGGCCTAACAGAGTTAGGAAGAAACTGAAAATTTCAGTTCAAAAAAGTAAGCCATTTTGGAGATATAGACATTACAAATGTGAGGGGGTAGATCCCATTCGGAGTACTTTATAGTCCAATACTTTCCAGTAAATCTCCATTTTCTCGAGAACAACAAGAGATATAACTGAGATTTTTTTACCATAAATACTATCGACGATGGGCTATATTTTTATGGTAATAAAAGTATTTTATTCCTCGATGATTTATGCCTGGCATTATATACAATTTTCAGAAAACATCCTCATGTAGATACGGTAAATTGGACGGATCAGCGCACTGGAATTAATCGAGATTGTTCTCATTTGAAAGAGCAAATCAAAATGCAGTGACTGACGTTTTCAAAAGTTTCTAGAATTGAACTTTGGTAGCAAGAATTTTTTAAACAAGACTGGAAGGGCCAAATTTGGGTCCCGACTCTCCCTATGAAGATTGATGATTTATTTTCAAATATTCGATTTAAGTGTTTCAAATGAGAGCCCATGTCGAGAAATCTCTAAATTAAAAATTTCAGCTCATTTGAACTTGTCTGTGAAAAATGGTGAAGGAGTTACTTTTTAGAATTTTACAGGGTAATATATACCCCTGGAAAGCAAAAGCTGTAGTCGATATTTCAGCTCTTCTGACACTCTAATAGGGTATTTCGGAAAAAATAATTATACCATTTGATAGCCCTTGGAGTTCTCTATCAAACTATGTATTTTGATTTTACCTTTCTTTTATCTGCCGAAAAGTTAATCAAGTGAAATGAAGGCACCCTCATATCCGGATTCCCACAGACTTGATTTTGTCACTGTCATCAAAATTAGTTTTTAAAATTTTTCATCACTATAGGATAATCTTTTTTAAAAAGCAATTATATATTCTAATAAAGCTTGAAATTCTCTATCAATCTATATATATTTGTTTTGCCTTGTATTTTCATGCTGACTGTGCTGTGACACATAAATCCAAAATAGTTAACAAATATACAAGATGATAGGGA